TACATAAATGTTTTCTGCAGCTAGTACAGGAAGTAATTAATGTTTGAGGAAAAAAAATAAACTATTTGCCAAACAGACTTAATACTCACCTGTCATCAGTACTTTGCTCATCATGTAATAGTCGCTCTTTATTTAACCCTATCTTCTCAAGCTCATGAGTTAATTTTTCGAGATCATTGTTCATCTGTTGAGTCTTCAATTTTTCACTCACCAAATCCTTATTATAAGAGGAATGCACAATCCACGTAAGTGCCAACAGCATAAACACCTAATAAAATCAGCTAAGATTCTAATTAGCATCATCTAGGAATACATTTAATTTGAACCAGGAAAGACAGAAATGTTGTCATTGAACCCTTCCTTCATCATTGAACAGCAGTTAAACAACAAAGCTATAACCTAATTGAAACAATTTTTTTCCTTCTTTCCTTTTGCTAATACTGTTTTTTAACTCTAATGTTAAAAAATAAAAGGGAAACTCTTTACTTGTGCATACACACCTTAGGTTTGAAAACTGTGGAGGAAAAAACATATATTCATTTACTTTTTAATAATGAGCTAGAACTTCAGTGTGTATTTCTTCCTATGAATATGTATTGGATACAACACTCCTCCCTCACCACAAGCCCCCCTGCTCCCTGCGAAAGAGACCTAAGGTATTGGTTTGAACTAGGGGACGTTCTCAGATGTTCAGGCACAAGGAGCCTGTTGTTCATGTCTGTAAAACTGTAGAACAGAAGAAAAAAATAAAAAGGTCCCTCTTAATGCCTCTTTAGCAAAAATGCAGACTCCCCAATGTGACTTTCTGCCAGAATGCTAAGACACTTTTTAACTGAACATAAAAAGGGTCATCACATACCATACTGCACAGGGATGGCAAAAAAGAACCTTATCTTCTGATCTGCACTAACCATGTTTCACAGGACATACTGCCAATCTACTCTTGAAAATTTCAGAATTCTTCCCAACACAGATCCAAGCAACTACTAGTTGTTCAGTGTTGACCTGTAAGTTTAACCTGATTTGTATTCTCTGATTTAGAGGTCAAAATTCATAGGGCTTTGGAGTCTGAAAGCTCTGGGTTTGAATCTAGTAATCCCTTTATTAGCTATGTGATCCTGAGTAAATTATGTAATGTTTCTGAATCTCAGTTTTCTAATCTGAAAAAATGGATACAATATCTATAAAGAATTGGTTGTAAA